CGTCGCCCGGGTAGACAGCCACCTCGCAGGTCATTACACGCACAGCCGCCTGCGCCACCGCCCACGGCCCCAGCCCGCACTCACCCTCCTGGCCGCGGGCGGGAGGCCCCAGCACCCACAGCAGTACCTGCCACCAGCCAAGGAGCCGCATGGTGCGCGGCGGGCAGCGGCCGCACCACCCAGGCCGAAGGGCAACCGGCGCACAGCGACGCGAGGCGCGATCCTTGCCGGAGGAAGGATTAAGGAGAGCTCGGGAGCGCGGGCGCGGCCCCGCGCTGCCATTTTGGCAGCTGGCAGCTGCCGCGGGCGCCATCTTGGAGCCGGGCGGCTGCCTCTCGTCTCTGGCCGGTGCCCTGGGACTCGGGGCTATTTGGGAGCCAACGCCCGCCATCTCAGGTCTTTTCGAAGTTTCCTGACCCTCAGGTTCTGGGCGGGGTTCTGGCAGAGGCCCGTTGCCCTCTTTCTTCACCCGGCAGTCGGGGCCGGGCGGCGGGCAGCAAGCCCTGCGCCCGCCCAGCGCTTCGTTCCCGGGCCAGAAAGGCCCGGAAGCGTCCTCCTAGAGTGCCCCATCCAGGGTCAGATACCTTTCCTCACCCATATTATCCTTCCCAGGTTGCCAGATAAAACACAGGATGCCCAGTTAAATTTGAATTTCACATAAACAACGAATAATTTTTATTATAAGAGACCGACCGAGGCTAGGCTGCGGTAGTTTTGCTATAGTAAATTTTCTAGTGGTTCCAGGAGGATCTGACACAGTGGACAACATGGGTGGAAGAGCCCACGTTCTTGATCACTACATTCATCTTTTGGCCAACAACCTCCCTCTCCCCCAACAGTGTAGTAGCAAATATTTTCTTCTTTAAATTATTCTCTCCCATACCCTCCATACTGGTTTTGAAGGTCATGATAAAGCCAATGGGACAGGATTAAGGGGATTTAGGCTTAATGAAAAGGAGGCTGATTTGACTCATCTGGACACTCCAATGTGGATGCTCTGTGGTTACAATTCCTTCCTTTTTGTTATGACCTTTTCCCTCTCTGTGTTTGTGTTTTGGTTGTTTGTTTGGACAGATGCACTTACAGATGTTAGACTTGTTGCCTTTCGATAAATACTATATATACACTCTCTGATGGAAACTCAATAAATACAGCCAACAGAATAGAATGCGAATTTGACTGTCTCGCCACCAGGTGGCACATGCACTTATTTGCAGTGAGAAAATTGTATTCAGGTTTGAAACTTTGATTTTACTTTCGTTTCTAGGGGGTAAACAAGTTGACATCATCCTCTTCTTTTGGCTGAGATGAACTCTATGCACCAACACCATATAGCCCCAGGATTGTTCATACAAGAATCTGATAATAATTGGAATTGTTCTTCACAGCTACACACCTGGTGTTTTGTCCCCCTTGATAGGTTTGCCTAATTTTTTTTAATCTATTGAGTCATGAGGACCTCTTTGTCTCTCTCCCTCCCTCTTTCTCAACAGACAAGTATTTACTTTCATTTAGATCACTGTGGCAAAGTGTATTTTCCAAAGCTTGCCACAAAAATATTCCCCATCCCACATGCTGCTGTGCAACGTAATTTTGCCACTGGCCCATCAATAGGTAGAATCTAATTCCCCTCCCCTTGAATCTGGGTGGTCCTGTGATTCAC